TCGATCACAATGGTTCATTATTGAAAATAATAAAACAATATCCAGAATTTGAATTATCTTGTAATAAATAAATGTTCTTAAAATTTTCAATAGACATAAACCTTGTAAAATATAAACAAATAAAACATAGTAACATTAATTAAATAAAATATTCTAGCATCATAATCATAATCATTTGTTTCTTAATTTTTTAAAATAAAATTTTTTGTACTCATTCCTAGTATGTTATCTGATTTTCTCGGCGTTCATGAACTTTGATTTTGTATTCTCATTTGTAAACATTATTTGAGATTTACCGAGGGCTTTAATACTAACATCAAAGAATTATAATCTATATCAAATAAAATATTACATGTCAGAACAACATGATTACTCCAAAAAAACTAGCTAGAAAGTCTTTGCATATATAGAAAAATATTTCTGAGTTGTAAAATTAGGTAATTTTTACTGTATAGAATACAAACAATAATAATATATAATAAAAAATAAATAAATGAGTTGCTTATAATCTTATATCCTCGCAATAAAATGATTTTTCCTAATTATCATAACTCATATGTTGAATCTTTTTACAATCGGTGCAGCAGATTATTAATGAAGCATATTAGTTAGAATACGCTTTTGTTTTGATTTAAAAAATATAATATATAGTATAAGCTATGTATATTAGTAAGATTATTATGGGTATGATTTCCGGAAATAAAATTTATACATTAATAATAAATAAAAGAAAGAAAATCAAGTATACATTCAGAATATTTTCCTCTTTTTAATTCCACGATTTTTGTAAAGTTGTTTTTAAATGTATCCATACTTTACCTAGATTTTTAAGAGAATGATGTGAAATAAATTTTATAGCTCATCTATGAATATTAAAATAAAATATAAATTAAGGTGACCTTATTTAACTTCGCTGTTTTAACAATTGAATCATGAAAAAAAAATTGATTTATACTGCCTATAATCCATTTCGAATTTTACTGCCATTAATTATATAAATCTTCCCCTCGAAAATAAAATATTTTCGCTAGCAATCCATGTGGAATGAGAATCCACAAAGTAAATTAAAATATATTAAAAAAAACATTTAAGCCATGGTAAACATCAAGTCGTCCTATCCGCAAAGAAGTCTTAACCAGACAGAATAGACCATACTTATTTGGATCATTCCTATTTCAATAACAAACAGCCACCACCAAAATGCCAACACTGTAATAATACACTTGAAGTCAGCCACATTTTACAAAAATATCCTTTTTATATCTCAAATATAACTATATAATTTATATCAAATATAAGATCAGGATATACACTTGCAATATCAAACAATATAAAAAAATGACAAAAACACATAAAGTTAGTATTACATTTTCTAAAATTAAACAATTTGTTAAATACAATTTAAAAGTTATTTAAATTTAGTTCAGATATTAATAAAATTAAACACAGGTGTTATGACCTCAAAGTTTTATACCTTACAACTCCAACAAACAAAAAACAAACACCTGCTATTATTTGTACTTAAAATCTAAATTATTTTCATTAATAATAAATCCATCCTAAGTTTGTAGCTTGTGCTGATTGCTGTCACCTTCGTAAAACAATTATATCGCTATTATAACGGGCCAAAACAATGAATTATTATCGTATTTGCTTGCCCCATCGATTTGTTTTCTGTGTTGATTTTGGAGTGTTTGTCTTCATATTTGTTTTCATATTGTTCATATTTTATTCATTATACATATTTCATCACATGTTCCGAGAAATTCCTATTGTTTATAATGAACAATAGGGATATTTGCACTTTTAGTATTTAATATTTGCACATCGAAGTAAACGTTTTGTATATCATGACAAATTCATGAAGCAATTAAATGCAACATACTACACAATGTTCACCAGCAAACTTTCCTTTATTTATTTTAAAGCCTTGATTTCAATTAAACAACTATTTGGACATGCTAATAGATATACTAAAAATTATCTATATATATAGATAGATCTATAAATATAGATAGAAAACATTACTTTTCTTTACATACATTAAATACATTTTAGTCCTCTGATCACGATATAATTAATTTTTACATTCCTCTAATTAACCTTTCTACAAACCTTCATTTTGAATCTTTTAATCTCAATTTTTCATTTCCTTACAATAATCTATTGAGAACGGTGCATAAGACTTATAACAATATCTATTAATATTTAATATTTCACGATAAACCTGTTGTTGAAAATTACCTATAATCCTGACACCGGCATTTTATGTAACAATCATAACATAGCAAGATAATACTGAAAAAATCTAGTGCGCGCAACACACAACTTTCACTTACCGCCTTAATTTGAATAGAAATTAGTTTCTGGCAATGCTGGGCTATTATAAAATTTTTTGAAGTGCATTTTAAACGGAGATAAAGCTTAAAGCTTACAGATAACTAGTCATTAAGACCGTTCTAATTACAAAATGTCTATTTAATATATAGGCAATACAAATTTACTCCATCTGCTTTTATAAACCACACAGCTTTCTTTGCTCATATTACTGTATCATATATATTACTGTATCATATACTTGACTATAATAAGGCCTATTTGGAGTTACGGAGTTGAGCTTTAGGGCTTTACTAAGCCATTGAATTCCTCTCGTATGCAATCCTTAAAATTCAAAATCTATCCTCAATGCTCCTTTTTACGAATAAAGTTATCCATAATGATCTTAATGTTTCAGATTTGAACCAATCCAGATACCTATCCTTCAATAATAAACTTTAGAACCATCCAAACCTTCTTGTTCCTAACTTTGCTTCCTCTTATATTCCTGAGAACCCTCCGAGGCGTCTGAAAAGAAGATGGCCTCGTGATCTGCTAATGTAGACATATTATTAGAGTGCTACGAGTGGATAGTTGCTCAACAAGATTTTCATGTCATTATATAAACTTTTACAAATTTACTAGATGTATTCTTTATGCAGTTGTCAATATCTTGAATCAATAATAATTTTTTTTTTATCATTATTTTGTTATAATAGAGAACTTCTTAATTGAGTGATCTTGTAATAGATTTATTTTTTATGAACTATATTATTTATATTCATTTTAATTGTTACTTTATTACATTAATATATTAAATATGAAAGTTCAGTATATGATATAGATACTTATCAATCCATAAATAACACATAAATCATTATTTAAAGTAAAAGTATAAATAAAAATTAGGACGTTTTCGTAGTTTTAAAAGTAAACACTTTGCATTGTTAATCAGGCTTCGTGAGCCCTACGTGAGAATATCTAAGAATATTGGCCAATCAAATCTTTTGAATTATTTGTGAATCTTTGAAAGTTCCTACCGGTGAAATTTAGATATTTAATTTTTCATCAGGAAATTGGCTAGAATTAAACAGTTTTAGATTGTTGACAATTGATACGATTCATTCCACGAAATGATAGTTAATTATTTAGTAAAGGTGTGTCGAAACACATCGTTATAATTATTGTTATCAATTTGTCACAATAGGTAGAAAACTAATGTGTGAACAAAAATAGTTTGTTTCAAATGGTAGCACATACAAATGCCTGGGTACTGTTATAAAACTTATCATTTTTATGTTTTTGAGATGCTAATGCCGAAATAAATATTTAAAAAAAAAATCAAATATCACATTTTATCAGCTATTTTTAGCTATAATTTTGTAGGATTATACGAATCTTATGTTCAAAAAGTTATTTTGTTGTTGATTTCTTATAACGGAGTACAGTCAGTTAAAAGCTTTAAAAAAATTAAGGCAAGGTAACATTATTTTATTGATGAATTGTATTATAATTAAATTATGAAAGAAAATAATTTTTATTGTCAGATAAATTAGTTAAAAATCCAATTTAGGCTTGAGATGAAATGTTTCATTGCTGTTATATTTATAGAAATTTATTAAATTTGTTTAGTGATATTTGAAATCCTTGAATAACTCTTACTGAAAACCTTCATATTTTTATTTAGAGCTTCTTGGGCTTGTAATTTCTGAATTTCCTCTCAGCTGATGACCATGTAAATGAACATAAAGTGTATGCTATTCACTTCATTTTCATTTTTAAAGAATGAGCCTGAATAAAACTAAAGAAAGTTTTCTGTCTATAAATATTTTAAAAAGTGACTATATTTTGTCACAAGTAATAATTAAAAATAGAAATGTGTAATTAATGAGAGATCCCCGACATTAACGGTAGCAATATTTTGGAATTTGAAGGACATAAGTTAGAATAAATTAAATAAACGAAAAAAACTGATAGACAGAATTTAACATTATATCTATCTATGACCTTCTGTGCTACAGTATCATTTAATAACACCCCACTTATCTCTGTTGAACAAATCCGATATCAAAGACTCCACCTGGACAAACGTCTCTTTTGGAATCCTCATACAAGATTGAAAAGACAAGAAACTGCTCGACGTTTCCGCTTACTCCAACACTTACAAGACAAACGCTCTAAACTTTCAATTAATTATAAAAGAATAATATACATGACTATAATAAAACATATTTAGACTTACGAAGTTGAGCTATGGGACTCCACTAAACACTCAAATTCCTCTCGTATCCAATCCTTACAATCCAAAGTCCTTCGTATAATCCTCCATGTTCCTTACTTTGTCACAAATAAAATAACCATAAAGACCTTTATGATCCATATGTTTCAGATTTGGCCCAATCCAGATACCTATCCTTCCATAACAAACTTCATAACCATCCGAATCCTCTCGTTTCCAACCTTGCTTCCTCTTCGATTCCTGACAACCTTCCCAGGCGTCCGAAAAGAAGATGGCCTCTTGATCTCATTATATAGACATAATATTAGAGTGCTACCAGTCGGTAGTTTCTCAACAAGCGTTTTCATGTGATTATATTCATGTGTTCATATTTACTTGATGTAATTATATTGTAATACAGCTGTAAATTTCTTGAATAAATAGTTAAAAAAACAAAACATCAAATCTACAAATAAACAAGTTTCAATGGAGTAAAATATGAAGAAAGGGTGCTGTGCACATGAACTATCAGTAGTTCACCCTTTATTAGAAACCTTAGTGCATAGAAACCCTTTGTTCTAATGTATGTATAAATGTATAGTTTTTTTCTGGATTTGGATTTTTTATATTTTGTACAGGTTTTAAGATAATTGATACCAGTGTATAGCATCTTGAAAATCAAATAAAGAAATAGTTAATAAAATTACGTTTGTTTAATTAGGTTTCTGTAGATTTGTAGTCTATTGTTGGGGATTAGACCAAATGTGCACTTCAACTACTCTATTGTCCACGGTGTCAACTGGGACAGTAAGGCCACCTGCTACCACAGAATCAACTCCCAGCCCCCCAACGCTACCAAGACAATTAATTTACTCATGTTTTGTCGAATATAAATAAGAAAATAAAATAGATACATACTTATAAACTATTAACTTGTCTAAGTATTAGATAAGTTTAGATTGTAGATATTGAAATTGTAGATATTAAATAATCAAATGACTCGAGATTCAAAGCAATAGGTTGTAATTTTAAAGTCTCAAAAAGAAAAATTTTCCTCTCACTAAGTAAAACAATTGTTAATAAATTGCTAAAAATATATGACAAGGAGTCTCGAAGCAATGGGTGAGATCACCATTTAATCCAACCATAATTTTTTTTTAAATCGTGGTTCGCCTTTATTGGAATAATAAGTGAGATGGTAAATCTAGTTAGGTTGAAAACTAATCATGGCAATGCGAATTCTTAAACTTGATAAAATAAAGGTGACACCAAACTGAGTTACGTGATGAAGTCGAGAATCCACTATATTCAGTGATATCCAGTTACCGTTGTAGCAGCGGGGGGATGGATTTTTACGAGGAGTTGGCACCCAATAATCCTAAAACAATAAAAAATTGAGAAGGGTTCGATCAAAAATCAACTTGGAAAATTCATAAGAATAAAATGTCATAGTTCAATTCATAGTCATAGTCAAACGAAGTATTAGTTTTATGTAAACTTTTACTCTGGTGAAGAAAATTTAATTTAACATTAAAGAAACGAAATAACTTTTTAAATTTACAAAACCCTATATCTTCACTCTAGAAAATACAATCAAAACATGACAAATCACAACATATAACATGTATAAAGGAAGGAGATGGTCCGAAGTGGTGGTCATAAATAGACTAAATAGTGGCAAAACTATTTCATTAAAAGCCAACGTTTCGACCCGACTTTGCAGGTCTTCTTCAGGGCTAGAACGGATAAGAACAATCAGATATACAGAATTGTGGAAGTTAAATCATATTTAGATAAAAAATTATAACCAATGTGAATAAACATATTAAAATTTTAAACGGTAAGTCTATTAAAATATTAAGAACAATAAGTTGTATAAAAAGAATAAGCTAAGTAACAAGATCCTAAATTGATATGATAACATGATCCTGAACTGAAGCTTACTCTGTTTATACAACTTATTGTTCTTAATATTTTAATGGACTTACTGTTTATAATTTTAATAAGTTTATTCACATTGGTTTTTACATTTTCATATTTTTTATCTAAATATAGTGTAACTTCCACTATTCTCTGTATCTTTTTATATCTTGTCTGTTCTAGCACTGAAGAAGTTTCTATTTTATGTTATTTGTTTACTTTTTTTTCTCTTTTATTTACTTTATTCATCGGTATTGTTTATTTACTTTTTATATTTATATTTATTTCTCTTAGGCCTAATACTTATAGTCCTCCAGTAGTGGCTGATTGTAATATTATTCAATAAATAGATTAAAAAAAATAATAAAAAAATAAAGCACTGAAGAAGACCTGCAAAGTCGAATTGAAAAGTTGAATTTTAATAAAATAGTTTTGCCACTATTTAGTCTTATTTATGACCGCCACCCCGGACCATCTCCCTGCTTAATAATGCAACGGTCAACTATTAAGTATTCAATATAGCATTTATAGTTCGAAGAGACGTTTGCACCAGTTTATATAGTCCAGAACTAAATTCCATAGAATTTGAAATAATTTAAACAAAAGACTGAAAATAACATGCTCTCTTATTTCTAAATCAAAATTGAAATCATCCATGAAGTACGGTTAGCATACGGTATATATTTACGATTCAGCAAAGCACGTAAGCGAACTACAATCCTGCCAATCCGAAATTTTAAAACTACTAACAGCTCTTTGGTAAGTAAATAAATAATATTACATAGAGGCTTAGTTTATGAAAGATCGACCAACAAATTCTTTCCTTCTGATTTCATAATAAATTAGACACATCTACAGACTTATAAGCAACATGGCCACGGCTTACAAGCCCATCTGAAGGCGACTGAAAAGGAGCTGGATGAGAGATCTCCTGTCCTAAATTAAGGAAGTAAGTAGAGACGTGGTCCTTCCTCATACCAATATACCATAAAATGCCTATAACACATTTGTTGATTGTCACCATCATAGTGATCAGATACGGATAAATATCTAAAAAGAAAAAAAAATACATTTTTTTGAAAATGAAGTTGTTTGATAAAATTTCATGTGACTACGAAAATTAACAACTAAGAGAGTAAATCTACTAAAACAATTATTTTTATGTTGAAAAAAGTTAAGATTGTATGAAAATATTACAAGTGGATAAAATATAAGGAAAAGATCAATGTTAAAAAAATAATTTGCAATATAAAATGGAAAATATTTGTTGGAAATATTTTCCATGAAGATGGACTATAACTCCGAAATGTTTGAAAAATTATAAATAAACGAAAAAGATATCAATAAAACAGTATCAATCAAGCCGTATTATTAATTCCACCTCTCTACTTACTTCATACTCGACAAATGAATCACATATTTTCATATTACATGAGAGTCGACATACTTTTCAGAGCTAATCTAGCAGAGGCGACATTAAAGAAAAAAAAAATTAATTTTATATGATTGAATTCTAAGAAACTTTATAGCAGCTTCAGTGAACTTTTGGGAAGTCGGTGGTATTTTTATAACTCTTAGTGTTTAGGAACTTTATAAATATCTAAAGCGGGTTTATATTATTCAGGAAGCTCATCTTGGAATTCTCCAGCATCGCTGGCTAAATGCTTTCTCCAGCGCCGGCCCTTTCAATATCCCAACCGAGCTAAATTTCGTCTTAAGTTCTAAATTGGAGGGAAGGGATGGGTTTGGCTTTCGTGGCCTGCCCACACCTACATAGGTACTAATCAGCCTTTAGGGCCCTAAAGCGGAAAATTACTAACTTGTCTGTGGACTTCATTATTGCATGTTAAATAACATTATTATTTTCTTTTTTACTAAAAATATTTAATACATTTCCTAAATTGACATAAAATCATTTGTTTTTATTTTCTATCATAGTTCAAAGTACAGAACCATTTTTATAATATTATAGGAACCATAAACTTTTTTATTTACGAAAACGGGGCGTTTCCAATCTTAAGATCGGCGAACGTTGTCTATCATCTTATGAGGTAATAAAAACTCATGAACAGCCATTTGCTTTTCATTTGAATCGTAAGATAATTTGACCACAAAATCGAAAAAAAAAGTGGCCTACAAAAATTTTGGGCTATTTGGCGTGATCTTCACCACCATAATCAAAATAACGAGGCTATGTTGACCATACGGCCTTATATTTATGACGGCATTTTTTTAGATTTTGTGATAAAATTGTCTTATGATTCTTGTTCTTTCCTCAGAAAGTTTGCCTAGAAGCATTGATGGGTATAACCATAATCAACGATTATGATTATAGCCATTTTGACTACGTGATTACACAAGAGATCATATTACAAGAAGATAATAATTCAGAGCAAAAGTAGTTTTTCAAAAAATTTTAAAGAACATATGTTAAATTTCTTTCTTTTTCATATATGGGTATAAAAATATTCTAATTAAATCACACTATAAAAAAAAAGAAGAAAAAAATATATATATATAAATCATTTTTTTATAAATATTTTAGAGTGATGCACTCTCTAATATGTGTGAGAGTAAAAATAATATCAGAAGACTAACTACGCCTTAAGTTCTGTCGATCTTCAAATATTACTAGATCGACCGATAGTATAAATTGAACCCTTATTTTAGAAAGAATATTTCATAATGAACCTGGTCCCCGATAAGGGGCATAGTGTTATTTTACAATAAAAAATAATGAAAAAAATCTTTTTATTAGCAGGGTCGCGTAGCTTCTAAAATCGATACATCTTTCCATGTAGAATTTATGTCCTCCATTTGTATACTTTCATTGAGTCTCTTATGACAACTCAATAAAATATTGAAAAAAATATTACGAAAATCATTTACTTATTTCTTAATAATTATTTTTAATTTTAATTTTTTTATATACTGAAAAGAATACAAAATTTATGAAACTACAAAACAGATAATCAAACACGAAAATATTCATAAAAATATCAACAATAATCATCTTTAGACATTTTATTTTAATGTGAAAATTATTAATATGATCTCTTTTCGACATTTTTAAAAACTATTTTTATTTTCATATTCTGAAATGTTTACTAATTTTACGAAATAAAATTTCAAAATGTCAATAACAGATTAGGGTAGTAAGTACAATTATTAATAATTGAACTCTAAACCGTTGACAAAAATATCTATGAAAATCATCTGCAGGATTTTTTTTTCTTTTAAAATTGAAAATATTTATCCGATCTCTTAGTTTTTTAATGATTATTTTTGTTTTTAAATTCTATAATCTTCGCTAATTTGACGAAACTAAATATCAAAATGTAAATATAGAAATCTGGATAAAAAGTATACAGGAACAAATGACAAAAGCAATTTATGCCCCTTCAATAGCTGTGAATACAATACCGCATAGCTGAACAAAATAGCCGAACTGTCTGCCTTACTTTACGAAGGGGCAACCACTGATTTTCTTTTTAACATTAACAGTTCTAACACGAGATGGTCAAAATGTAAATCAATGATTACATGATTACTACTGAAAATAGGACTAAATTTTGTCTATTTTATACTTGTTACTATAGGACTAAAAATATAGCAAATATGTGAAGCGATATGAGAATATAATGTAATATTTTTGAAAAATTATTTTAAGGTTCAATTATTATTTTCTTGTCATTCGCTCTCTTGTTTTTAATTCTTTTGTTTTTATAATGACTAGGGGTGTAACCCTGTCCGCTTGACGGCGAACCAACCCCCATTTTACAAATTACACAACTGGTCTGTACTGTACTATTCGTTGGTCAAATTATATAATTTTAATATACATGTATTCTATAATTGAGATTG